ACTTTCGGGAACTAGCTGAGAATAATTTTAAAATAAATTTCATTCAATTAACAAATTAATTTTAAATTAAATTAATTTTAAGTTAAAACTCTCATTTAATTTAATTGCTTAATCAATTTCAAATCAAACTAAATAATTTAAATCATTTATAATAAAATTAAAATTTATATAATTAATCAAATACTATAATTGAGATCAATTTACAAACCCTAAAAGTTTAATCAAATTGAATAATTAAGATTAATTTTAGGAGAATATAATTAAGATTAAACAATTTTTAAATTTTTAATTAAAATTGGGTAGAGAGACTTTAATGATAATTATAACTTTTGGGTTAAAACTATTGAAATTTTATATAAGTAATAATCTTAAAATATAATTTTTTATTTAATAAAACTCCAATTAATTGAATTTAAATCTTTAAAGTTATTAAATTAATTGAAGCCACCAAATTTAAATTTAATTATAAATTAAATTAAAATAATTATGTAATTTTAAAATATATTTTAATTAACGAGTTGAAGCAACAACACAACATCAGAAATCTTTCATTCCCACTATTGTGGGTCTCCCTGACTACATTAATTCTTTTTCTCCATTGTGTCATGTTAAAAGTAAAATTCTTAATTAATTATAATAAATAAAGATAATTTCTAATATTTTCTAACCAAGTCTTTTTAGGTCTGCCTTTACCTTTCTTAATATGGGCCAAATCTAATACATTTACTCTCCTAACATGGTCATTAAAAGGCTGCCATTTTACATGACCAAACTATCTAAGGCGACTCTCTCTAATCTTATATATCACTGGAGCTACTCTGACTTTTCATGCATATGCTCATTTCATATCCTATCTCTGACAGTAAATCCACTCATCCACCTGAGCATCGTCATCTCAGCAACACTTAACTTAATATTATGCTTCTCTTTTAATGACCAACATTTTGCACCATAAAGCATTGCAGTTTTCACCACTATCTTATAAAATTTTCCCTTAAGCTTGAGTGATACTTTTCTATCACACAACAAACCCGAAGCATTCCTCCACTTCAACCATCCAACTTGAATTCTATTAATAGTATCCTCATCTATTTCACCATCACTCTGAACAATAAACGCATTAATGGCTTGCTTGCTCAAAGTCACAACCCCTATTATATATATTACTACTAAAACTACACTCCAAGTATTCGGTTTTAGATCATTGTCATTGCCAGGTCCCAAGTCCTGAATGAGAAAAGTGAAGGGTTACGTTAGGTAGTTGACATCCAGCGTAAAATTTGTCGAATAATCATAACAATTAACTAGCTGAGCAATTAATTTTAATTTAAATTTAAATCTTAAAATTAACTAATTTAACCCTAAAAAAAATCAAAATGTAAGTAGCAATGCAGGGAGGAGAGCCACTCTGGTGAAATGCATTTTGATTAAAAAAAAAAAAAACTAAAAAAATTAATGTTTCCACTATACAAACTTAAGTATAATGCACACAAACTAAACACCAAACTACTAAAATGAAAAAAAAAAAGAAATACAAAGAAAATTCCAAAAAACCTTAACAAACCTAAACCTAGCTCCAGCTCTTGCAATTGCAAGTACAACATGCCTGGAAGCAAGCAAGCTGATAAGGCATCAGCTTGATGTCGTAAAACAAAACAAGTACTTAAACAAATGGGTACTAAAACAAGCTGGTGCTAAAATAGAACTGGTACTAAAAGAGAAAAGATGGGTACTGGAACAAAACAAGTAAGAAAAAGCTACTACTATAGTCAAAACTAGGTGCTAGAAATAAAGTACTGATGCTTAAGCAATAGTACTAAAGCAAAAAACAAGCTACAGGGGCAAGAAGAAAAAAAAAAAAAAAAAACTCTAAAACAAAACATTGGTGCTGGTGTCGAAGTAGTGAAGTGTGCAAAACTGAAACCTCGCTAACCTAAAGTTCAATTGACAACCTCTAATAGAGGCCGTAAAACCTGTTGCATGGGCTACTTTTAATAAAAGAAGTAAGACTCACACGTTCGGGGAAATCTTTAGGTAAAAGTAACCTAATACTAAATCCCACATGTAGGCCATCTCTAATAGAGGCCGTAAGTCCCACATTAATTAGGGTGTTAGGGAAAATATTCCCAAGACAAATAACACATCCCTGATAACTTTGGGCTACTTCTAAAAGAAGCTGTAAGATCCGTTATTTGGGTTAATTCTAGAAGAAGCCATAAGACCTGATTTATGGCCTACTTTCAATGAAAGCTATAAGCACCGACCCAAATTTAAACTCGGGCGACTCCAAAATGGAGCCGGAAGACCCAATCTAAATCTAAACTATTGGCAACTCCCAAGCGGAGCCGCAAGTCCTAACCCAAAGCAATAAAACCCACAGTCAATCACTTCAGTTTACTCGGAATCTCTCTGAGAGGAGATAACCCATAACTGTTAATTAGATTTCCTAGACATTACGATCAATGATTGTTAATATTGATATTAGTAAACTGAAGATCCGATCAATACTAACAATCGTCAATTTATCCTTAATCGAGAGTTCTTTTCTACGCGTTAGAAGTGGTAATTAACTATGAGGGCTTGCGCTCATAGGAGTGGAACCCCATAACTAAATAAACCTAGATGTCGATCATGGGGGAAATCTGATTAATTTAAATTCTAATCTTCCTCGGGAAAAATGAGGCCTAAAGCTTGCGAAAGTGGGGTTTGTGTTGTAGTGCCATATTTTTCTTAGCGAATATTATCCTTTGCAATGAGCTCTGTGTTTAACTTATTAGAGAAAAACATGTGGCCGGTCTGACTTTTTGTGTTTTATATGCACAGCTGAAGGATTGACATTTGGGAATAGTGTGTACTGGATTTCTTTTGATGAGGAATATGCTCACAAGGTGCTTTCTTATTCTTTGAACGATGGCTTCTCCTTTAATTATCATACATCATTTATCTGTTTTGCCCTATGTTGACATTCAATATTTTCTTGCACCTTCCTTGTTTCAGAAGTTCAGCTCTTCTAACCCTTTCGGCATCCAATACAAGTTTCATTTAGAGGTAATTCAAATTAAAACTTGAAATTTTTGTACAATTAATTGCATGAATTATTATGTATCTTTTTTGTTAGAAGCATTATTGTCTTGCTATGTTCAAATGCTTTGATTTACTTGCTTTCAAATGTTCTATGTTCTTTTGTATTCCAGAGAACTTTATTTATTAGTTTTTTTGTTGGAAGATTGTAGCTAGCCTCCGACCTCTGTATTGAATTCATGTATTTCTTGGATAAACTTGTGTGTTGACAATATGATGTGTTTTATGCTTTATTAATTTTTCCTTCCAGTAGGTCAGGTCCATTAAAATGTTATATATTTTTGAAACAAAGTAAGCTTTTATGAAGCTTTTCTAGCCCGTTTCCCAAATTTTCATTATACATCTGTAGGTCCGTGCGATTAATCTCAAAATTCTCTTTTGGGCTTATTTGATTGCTTGTAATTAAAAAAAAAACATTTTTTTTTAAATGATGATTTCATTTTCAGTCATTTTACGTTTGAAAATTAAGTTATTTCATTCGAGAAAGGTAACAATGGGCTCTTATAATAACCTATGATGTACAGACACGGGCACGTTGACATGGATATGGTACACATTAATAATTGAAAATATTGGACACAAACATGATTTGGACACGGTATCATAATTTTTATATTTGAAAAATAATGTATAAAAATTAAATAAGTATAAATTAAAAACTAAATTAGAATAATAAGTCATTTAACTATAATTTGTACTTAAAATAATTAATATTAGAATATTAAAAATTGGGTGTAGATGCTGTGTATTAGTCAGCGGGAGAGGAGCCAACAATGTTGTCGAAAGTCAGGCATCAATATTATGCAATAAATATCAGACATCAATGTCAAGAGGACGTCTGTTGTCGATGTTGAGAGGGTCTTGTTCGTCAATGTTATGACAACGTTGGACAAAGATGAATTGTCAAATTGTGGGTATAAAAATTGCTAGCGTGGAGCATCGATATCAACATAGTGTCAGACTTTGATATTGAGATGGTTTTGAAATGTCATTATTGTAACGATGTCAGGCATTGATGTTGAGATGACATACGTCATTATTGTGAAATCAAAATCGCAACCCACCAAAGAGAAAAGAAAATTAGAATATTCAATGAATGGGGTATTGAGTGCAGGTGATTGATTTGGTAACGTGGATAGGAGATAAGAAATTTAGTTTTTATATTTTAAATAAATAAAATTTTAAATACAATAAATTATGTTTAAAAAAATTTCATGAAATATTTAAGACGCGGGTCAGACACGCATCTCCAATTTATATTTACTATTTTTTTAATCAAACACATCAGTGTGTCCGACACTTGTCAGAGGCGTGTTGGATGTGTGTCGTGTCAGACACTACATGCCTCTTTGAGGAGAAGTGTCGGTGCATCATATATAATAGCTCAATAATAATAATTACATTAATTTTATCTTTTTCCCTTATCCTTCCTTCTGGCATCTTGGCTCACTTTCACGGAATCACATCCCTAGTGAGAAGCGATTCCACTATTTTAGGAATCTGTGGTGGTAGGTCTGCTGCCATCTTTGTTGGGCTTAGGGGTGTCAATATTTGACACGACCTGAAAACTCGACCTGAAAATTTTGGGTTAAGGTCAACCCGAACCTGAAACGGGTCGGGTTCAACATTTCGACCCGTTTCAAAAATCGGGTCGGGGTCAGGTTAACCCTTTGACCTGAAATTGACCCGAAAACCTGATTTTGAGCCGTTTTTGACCCGAAAAAGAGGAGATAGACCCGTTTTTGACTCGAAAACTAGCAATTTTTTGTTGGAAACGGGTCATTCGGGTCGTGTCGGGTTGACCCGGACCCGAAGCGGGTCAGGTTCGGGTAAGGAAAACTGACCCGTTTTCAAAAACGGGTCGGGTTCGGGTTGACCCGAATAGTCTGGGTCAGTTTCGGGTTCGAACCGAACCCGACCCGTGACCCGAAATTGACACTCCTAGTTGGGCTCAGAAGGTGTGCAAGAAAAATGACGCTTGGCATAAGAGATGCCTAGTGAAATCTTTGAATCAACCTGGTGCTCAAGATTTGAATTTTCATGATGATCCCAACATGGGCTTTGACGTGCTCAATTGGGCTTGGGGATCTCTCTGGTTATCACTGGTCAATGTCAAGGTTGCGCATTTTTGGGCAGCATGACTTTGATGACCTTATTCTCTAACTTTTTTTTAAAAATTTTATTTCCTATAGCAAACATTGTATTAGTTCCCTGCAAACCTTGGACCTGAAAAGGCAGAAGCTAAAAACCTTGCATTTTTGCCCGGCAAACCCAATTTTTAATGTGCTCTTTGTTGGAAGTTTATTAATACCTAGCTTTTGCAAATCTCTGTATAACTGACTTTATTTTTAGTATACTATTTTTCCTTGTTTATATAATGAGAAAAACCATTATCTTTATTTGCAGCAAAGGAAAAATTAAGGTATTGTTACTAAATCCGTTAAAAGTTTTTCTTTTTATCATTAGAGTAAGCTAAAGGATTTAAATTTCGTTGAAAACTTAATTCTTAATAGTTCTTCTCCAAAAATCTGATCATGTTGTGTTTTTTTTTTTTAAATTATTTTTTAAATTCTTCTAGATTCGATTATGACCTCATAAATTGCATGATATTTCTCATTTAGTTATGTCAATTTACAGGATGCTGTTGATTGCCCAGAGTGGATTGTACCATTTCATGTTTTCAAATCACTGGCGGAGGAGGTTAGTTTCTTTGATTTCATTTCTCTGATAGAATGTTTCAGTTTCTTCATCTGTTTCCATTGTGGTGTTTTGTAGTATGATCTCAAGCTTGTGTCTGTGAAGAATTCCCATGCTTTTGTGGATGAGTTTTTGAAAATGCCAGAGTTTACTGAGCTAATGAGGAGGCTCGGCGCTCTGGGCGATGGCAACCAGGATCGAAGTGAGCCATCCTTGATCCTTCCCTTGCTCTCAGAATTTGTACTAATGATTAAATCCTTCATACTTAGCCTTTGCTAATGTGCAGGTACATTGTCACAGGATGAATGGGATGCGGCTTATCTCTATTTAACTTTTGTATTACAAAAGGTATGCTTTTGATTGAATCTTTCCCTTTTTGTCTGTAGGGGTGTCAATATTGGACCCGACCCGAAAATTTTGGGTTTGGGTTGACCCAAAACTGGTCGGGTTCGGTTTCAACAATTCGACCCGTTTCAAAAATTGGGTCGGGTTCGGGTTGCCCTTTGACCTTAAGTTGACCCGTTTTGACACGAAAACATGTTTTTGACCCAAAAAGCGAAGATTGACCCATTTTTGGACACGAAAACTAGCAGTTTTTTGTTGACACCGGGTTGGGTTCGGGTCCGGAAAACCGACTCATTTATTAAAATGGGTCGGGTTCGGGTTGAAGGGAATAGTGTCGGATCAGTTTCGAGTTCCACATGATCCCGACCCGTGACCCGAAGTTTACACTCCTATTTGGCTGCTACCCATTGACTTAGTATTGCATTATTTTGATATCAGGGTGGCGAATCTACGGCAAGTAAGAGAAAGCATGACATCAGCAATAAAGGAAAAACGTGCATAACAGAAGAAGACATTGAGATCCTCGATGGTGATATTTGAGCAAATCCCATCTTCAAAGTTTTGTTTGTATATTATCAAGTGGTGCAGCGTACCCTACGCCAGAGCTTTCCCTGCGCACAAGGCACCAACAGGTGGTAAAAAGACGTTACAAGGTTCGCCTTCATGCAAGTTAGCCTGTACTCTTTGTTCCAATCCAGTTCTTCTGTAAACTATCCTTTGATTATCCTAACATATAACAGTGAAATACATTGTATTAAATATAATAAGAGACTGTACAATAATATTTTTCAGTTTGAGGTGAATAAATTACCCAATACATGTCTGATATCTCCACTTGTTATCCAAAAATATTTTTGGGCTATGATTGAGGCTTTGTTTGAGATAGTTTTTTTTTTTATTATTTTGTAAATATTTTTTTTTAGTAAAAAAAATTTAAACTAAATTGTTTTTACTAAATATTGCTTCAGAAAGCTGCCCCGAACAAAATCTACAACAACAACAACAACAACATCAAGCCTTTATCCCACTACGTGGGATCGGCTACATGAATCCTTTTTCTCTATTGTGTCCTATTAGAAGTCAAATTCTCGTTTAAATCTAATAAAGAAAAATCATTCCTAATATTTTCTAGTCTTTTTAGGTCTACCCCTACCTTTCTTAACATAAGTCAAATCTAATACCTCTACTCTCCTAATCGGGTCATCGCAAGGCCGCCGTTTTATGTGACCAAACCATCTAAGGCGACTTTCTCTAATCTTATCTTCTACTGGAGCTATTCCAACTTTTTCATGTATATGCTCATTTTGTATTCTATCTCTAAGGGTAAAGCCACTCATCCACCTGAGCATCTCATCTCTGCCACACTTAACTTAGTATTATGCTTATCTTTTAAAGGTCAATATTCGGCATCATAAAACATTGCAGGCTTCACTACCATTTTATAGAACAAAATCTGAGTTATAAAAATCCACTTATGAGTCAGAGTTATAGGAATCTGATCCTAAGAAAAATTAGGTGATCAATCATCTCAATGGGAAGCCCTAGTTATGAAATTTCATCCAAAGAATTCACGTTATGAAATTTCTTAAGGAGGTTCATATTACTAAAATTTCTTTAGAAGAAGTTTGTGTTCCTAAAATGTTCCCAAATAAAAATCTGGGAAATTAAATTCAAATCATATAAAAGTATAGAGCCAATGGATATTATTGAAAGAGGTCTCCGTTACAAATCCTAATCTTGAATTCAGATTATCAAAAATCCTCCTAAAAAGTTTGTTTTACAAAGATCTAAATTTGAGAAATATAGAACAATCAAATTCCATTATAGAGGTTCAAGTAATAAAAATACCTTTCAAAGAAGTTGGGTTTAAAAAAACCTGACCTTGAGAAATGTTGAGCAATTAAAATTCTTTCTAAAGAACTCAAAAATCCATTCTCAATGTGTCAAGTAATTAATCTAATTTGGGATAGTTAGGGTAATACAAACCATTTCTAATAAGGATTTGGAAAATTAAGATCTCTATCATCATCTCAAAATTGAGTAATTCATAGTGTTATATTCTAAAATTACACTCATTAGGGGTCAATTTATTGAGCTCTAAATTAAGAGCAAGGAGTTTTGGTATAGATTTTTTTTAATAAACTCTAAAAAGATTAAATAAGTTAAGAGTACTCTTAGAGTAACCTCTCTATTGGAGTCACCAAACACATCCCCATATAATCTTGGATAATAACTATGTATAACTTAATATGAGTGGACCCATTTTACTTTTGAGTTTAAATAAAATTTATTTGACATCGTCTTCTATGTATGTGGACTCTCTTACCAAAAAATAGATTTATAGTGGTTCTACCTATAATACTATGCCCACTCCTCAAGTCCTCTACGTGAAAATTTTACTAAACTCTCTCCTTTTGCTCCATAGAAGCCTTCATCCCTCATGGGATATTGAAGAAATCCTACACCTCTTTTCCTCTATGAAATGCATTGCTATCCTAGCACACCAACTAGTTTTTACGATACTCTTCCACGAGATAAATAGATCCATTATAACTAGTTTGCAAAAGTTCCTAAATTAGAATTACAAGCCTGGTGCGGCGGAGATGCCCTTACAAAAATCACTTCCACCAAATCTGGTGCGGCGGAGAGATGAAAGCTTTGTCATCCTCCCGGTGAAGGCAACGAACCTTCAATTATTTTTCTCCATCTTAGAAAAGGTAGAGAACCTTAGAATTTTTTTCTCCCTCCTAGAGAAGACAGAAAACCTAGACTTCTTTCTCACCCTCTTAGTGAAGGCAGAGAACCAAGAACTCTTTTTTCTCCCTCCTGGAGAATGTAGAGAACCTCGACTTAGAGCTGAAGAGTTTCTCCCCAGAGCAACCCAAGAACCCTAAATAGAGACTTGGAGGAACAAGGCGAGACACTTGCTTGGAGCAACCGTGTGAACCCCTCACACAACTTCTCCCTCACACTAAAATTCTCCTCTTCTTCCCAAAGTCTCATAGAACTTCTTCTCCAAACTCCCTTTCAAGAATACTGAAGTCTTTTTAAATAAGTCATTGATAGAGCTTAAGTAGAAGGGCTAACAAAAAGCCTGAATTTTAATTCTAGCGACAATGATCATCCAGTATGATTAAGGATCGTCCAGCACGATTAAGGATCGTACAATATGATTAGTTTAAAGTACTCCTAGTAGTACTATACAAAGAGATAGTTGCTGAATGACCAGTTTTAAGAAATGAGCTGATCGTCCATGATGATTTAGATCATCGTCTAGTATGATTAATACTAAAACTTGGATTATCATCCAATACAATAAGTGATGATAAATTATCATCCCATGCAAGAATTGGTTCGTACAGTACGATTGGTCAAATCGTCTTGTATAATCTGATTGGATCTGTTAATCCAAATTTGATCCATTTGTGTTAGCAAGTCAAGATGTTCAAGTTTATTTCAACAAATATCCTATTGGTCATAAGGATAAATAAAATTGGCTAGATATCATAAAAATAAAAGCTCAAGGGATAATTAATTAACAATACGTTGTAGCAACTACACATTAAGAGGATGAGATCTCAAGTTGTAGGCCTGTTGAAATTGACGAGATGCCAACTACAACCCCTAGTTTTAAAATGTAGTTAGAAGATGTGAATAGTTTAACTAGCTCATCAAATAAGAATGAGGATGAAAGTGAAGATACATTGGAGAGTAATGATTATATTTCTGATTCTGAGTAGTTTTTGTAATTTAGAATTATAATTTTTATAATTTAGAATTATAGAATTATAGTTTTTATACTTATAGAATTATACTTTTTATATTTTGAGCAATAAAAATGTTAATCAATATTTTGTATTATGTAATTCTTTCTTTTTATTATTCATTATTTATTATGTATTCTTTATTTTTTAAATATTACAATGCTTTATTAATTGCTTCTTTTAATGTAAATGGCTTCAGGTGATGATTCTCCTCATAGATCATTTTCCTTAAAGTTTTCTCAAAAAAAGTTGAGTGTTAAACCTAACAGTCCTAGACAGCCTGATAAAAGTGAGGGACAGAGATCAGTTTCACCAGTTATACCATCACCACCATCACCCAGGAGTCACTAGCAGTCCCCTAGTGAGCAGGGTCAGGGTCAGTCAGATTCACTTGCTATTATACCACCACCCTTTCCTAGGTACTTCCCTCCTCCATTGATGAGTCCTCAATTTCCCTTTCCAAATTAGGCACATGCATTTCCATTTTATCCATATTATCCCCCACCATCATCATAAACTGGTCCATCCACCATCTCTTACCCTCCTTACCCCCACCCATATTATTACCCATATCCGGTGCAGCCAGAACACGGTAGACATCTAGACTAGTAGAGGTTGGTGCTGGGGATTATGTAGTTGTAGCATATAAGAGTCAATACATTGATCCTGAGGGCGATACGTAAGTTCAATTTATGTTTTTAAGTTTCTTGTATTTTGATATATTATATGTTGTTTGATAAAAAATTAACCTATAGCTTCAATCCTTCAAGTCCACCTACTCACAAGATTCGGGATATCATAAGGAACAAATATGATACTCCTTATTTATCATGGAAGAAGATCCCAAAGAAAATTAGAGATATGTGAATTTCAGGTATACTTATTTCGCATAAATTCAAATATTTGATTTAATTTGTATTAATATTTTTTGTTATACCTATATTTTTTTATAGAAAGAATTTAGATGGTTGCCTGAGCATAACATGAGGATTAGAACAAATTTTGAGAGGAGAGGATCTACCCATCTTAGGGACAAGTTTACAGACATTAAAAGTTTGGGCAGCATCCAATATGGATTGGAGAGGGCGTATGGGCAGTCTGAGAAGAGCTTGGGCTAGCCCTGAGTTCATAAAATAAGAGAGCAGAATAAGAAGAAAAAAGTATTTGACTGTGGGGATTTAGGAAGCTCTCTTCATACTGGTGGATTTGTTCCACATACGGAACATATATGACGAATGTTAAAAGCTTTAAATTAGTTTAATAAATATATTTATATTATTATGAATATATATTCTGTTTTCAGAAAGAGTTTCTTGGTCGGAAGTTGACACCGTTAGAGTTGCATACGAGAACTCACCAACATCAAGCTGACAATCAGTGGGTTGATAAAAAGGCTAAAAAAGCTATGTGACTATAATTTTTTGGAGTTTGGGAATAAAAATTTATTAAAATAAAACTCATTCTGGTATAAATATATTTTATAGATTTATTCTTGTAGGATGATTTTGTACGAGCTTGGAAAAGTTGTTAGTCCACTAGTGAGGGATCATCTTCAAGATCGACCCAATATTCTGAGTATTATACATGGCCAAATGTTGTTGGAGGAAGGCAGTGGGGAAGGGTATATGGCTTGGGTTCGTAAGGCTATGCTTATAAGGGCATTTCATACACCTTAGCATTTTATGATCCTAGTAGAGGTGAAGAAAGTATAAGCCACAGGGTTGCAACGCTGACGAGAGAGATAGAAGAGATGGTAAAGGTTCAAAATGAGATGTAGACAGAGCTGTGATCCTATAGAGATGAAAATCAAAAGAAGAAAGAGTAAGAGCAAGAGCAGCCACATGCATAACCAGACCGCAAGGATACGGAGTAGGATTAATACTCTTTTTTGTTTGATGAACTTATGATGAACTTATTGTAAACTTATTTAGTTTGATAAACTTATGTGTAAACTTATGATGAACTTATTTGGTTCGACTTATTGTTTGGTTATGAACTTATTATGAGTTGATTTATTTTGATGAATATATTTGTGATAATTATTATGATTGATTATAGTGGCGT